ATGTCTAATATTTCGAAATTATCATTTTCCATTTCCCTGGCCAACACTCTGATTGTATTATATTGGTGTACCGGTATTCTATTTATATTTTGCTACGGATCTATTGAATAGACAGACAAAAAGCAATGGGATATCATCGACACTTTAACAGTTATTCACCTATTACTCTCAAGTAAAATACTACGAAAAATATCTAAACAGACCACTACCAGATGCACTACTACTTTGCCTCACTGTCGATATACACTGTAGTCCAAAATGCACCGCTGGATGCTCCTTAGCCGCTTAGCCGATTTCGCCCAATATGTCTCATTTATATAATTATAACATAGTACGGTACAGACAGGGGAACATATCACGAGAACAGATGACATTTGAACTGGCACATGTTCAAAATTATAAGCATTCAGATTCTCAGTGAGAAAGCATATTTATCGAACGTATTAGCATAGACATGTTATGTAATAATCAGTATGACGTACCATAGATTTCAGCCCGTTTCAAGCAAAAGCTAGTAAATTTCACTGTACAAGCGCGATTTTCAAGTTCAATCCGTCAAGTTCAATGAAAATAAGTTTACAGAAAATAGTAAAATTATTACTTTAGATAAATTGAAATTTTTGAGTTTTAATGTTCAAGTAATGCTAATTTTTCATATTGTAAAATTTACAGTCTCAATAAACTTAACAAGTTCAACGGAATGATTGCCAATTGTTCAATTACATCAGGATAGCACAACGTAGTAGATAATATTGCATTCAAGGAACTGAAAATATTCCCTTAATCTATATATCATTCATATCCCATCTTAAAATACTGTTTCTTTATATGTTAAGATAATCATCTTGCATTAATTTCCCAATGTCATTGGTTAATTTGAATTTTCTGTCGAGAACTCTGTACCACATCATCAACTATAAATAAGAAACTCGAAACAGCGCAGTGGTCCTTTCATGAGAGGCGTGATAAGGCATTAAAACACATTCTAATGGCTCTAATATTAGATTCAACAACTTCAAAATCCTTTGAATGTCCGATAGTGTCATCCTAAATTAAATCGCTTTGTTCTGAATGTTTTGAATAGAATTTTCCAGTAACGACAGAATTCTAGAGTCGGAAGTAATCAACGAAAATATGAATTGACTGAAGCCTTATTTTTTGCAATAGCTTTGGTTTTTGGCTCTATCCTTAGGTGTCCGGATGAGCTCAATTGAAATGAGCATCCAGTAATGATTTTTTCTTGAAAACTCACTTTCGACTTTGCCATACGAATAGAGATAGAGGCTCTTTACACACCTTAAGTTCAGAATTTTTTAATTTTGGGGTAGGTTAAAATTCTGGAAGTTGCCCTTTTCCGAAGAAAGTTCTGCTTCGTCAAAAGTTGAATATTTGTTTATGTAAGTATCCACTTTCGTCATACACTCCGAAATTTAACTAATAGTAATCTAGAATTTTCTTCAGTTGTTCTCATGGTCTATCCTCTTATTTCTGCATACGATGCAAATAAACACCAAAAAGAGATTATTCAGCAATGTCTTTAAGGTTTTTCTACAGGTTAACACCTCGCCTAGCCTGCACTGTATCTTCCGTACTGCTCAAGTAATGTGCCAGGAAAATAGGTAAGATGAATCCGAAGAAGCGACGGTCCAGTATCGATTATGTCACATTCCGTCTAAGCGACAACACATGGTTAAAATAGATCTTAGGCCATCGGATCTTTATTTATCTCCTCAGAGAACAAAATCCAGATGAATGAGAACTAAATGCATTAAAGGTAGATGTATTTCATTATTTGTGCTGATTCTTGCTAAGGGTTGATATGGATCAACTTTCACTTGACGCCCTGTGAACGTACCTGCTGAAAATTATGCAAAACCGGTGATACCAGTAATCCTAATTAGAACAGCAAAATCAAACATCATTACTCTGCCAACAGTCCCTTTTAAGAATATTACTATAAAAGGCAATTGATTGTCAGCTTGCTGTACATCTGTTACTGCATTTTAAAAGTTTGCTAGTTTTGTATCATTGCTGCGCATACAGAAAAATGCAATGCGAGTGATTGGAGACCCATCTCCTGTCAACGAGAGCTCATCGTCTCACTTTCCTCATTCAACTATTATTTTTGTGGCCCCATATCCCCCGTAATATTTCCGTTTTATACTAATCTGAAACCATTGTCATTCGCCAAAGTAATTCAAATTAAGTTTATCTGTATTGTTAACGATAACAAACTTCAAAATCAGCTGCTGAATCCACAGAATTTTTTATCTTCAATGTACCCGCAGATTTTGTCTTCTTTGGATCATACGAAGTGAGTTCGTCTGAGTGAATCATGTCAAATACGCGTTGTACTTATCACACAATTGCAATCTGCGGAATACCTTTCACTTGTTAGATGGTTCAAGATTACGTGTGTGACATATGTAAACAAACTCAAGAGCTACTCAACTACTCACATTCCCGTACTCTGTCAAACAGCAAAATGTGCAAACTTAATTAGCTGATGCTGATATTTGTTGTCATTTGACCTTTTTCCAATTTACTGTAATTTATTACTAAAACAAAATTTTAATCTTGTGCCTTAACAACGTTAATACTGTTCTACATCATAACGAGGATATGCAAGTTGGCTCCTCAATTGATGCTTAACATTTATGAATAATCTCAAGTAGTGTGAAACCTTTCATTCAAAAGGGTAGCCGTGATATTGCTTCCTACACATATATTTGGTCCCATTTTAAACGATTGAACTTTATCATTTACCGGTATTGCACTCAATGATTGCTTG